GATAAACAATTTTATAAGAGAATAGGCTTTCGTGGACTACAGCATCCGAAGAAGTGGGCTGTAGCCACGAAAGCTTATGCTCTAATAAATTTGTTAGTCTCTAAGGTGCCACAAGTACTCCTGTTCTCTGTCCAAGGGCGCCAATTAGGTAGGGCGGGAGGGGGTGGGGGGCTACCACCCCCCCCCGAGTTTCATACAGGGGGTGTGCTCCCGGGCGGAGCTCTTCAGTGGATTGTGAGTTCTACAGAGGGGTTTCTCTCAGCTTGTGTCCCTGGGGCAGGGAGTCAGTGCTTTGTTCACAACCACAGGCAGGGTGATTAGGAGAAGGAAAGGCCGGTAATTAAATGAAGGATCTGGAAGTGGTTAGAGATAAACCTGTAACACAGGAATCCCTGTGTGGGTGAGGGGTTGAGGAGAGAACGCAGGGACTTCAGACGAAATACAGCCAAGCCCTGTGAGCCCAGGCTACATTCAGAACAGAGGAAGGTGTGAGGGGCATAAGTGAAAAGAAGGGGCCGAACCCCAGAGCACGACTAGCAGTGGCACAGAGAAGTTCCCACGCTACCTGTGGTACTGATGTGGCCCCATCACTGCAGTATCTGAGCACCTCACATCACAGCCCCTGGGTGAGGCAGAGCTGTGCTGTTCTCCCCATTGTACAGATGGGCACTGAGGCACACACAGTCAGACTTTCACAGGTATTTAGGCATCGAGTGGGATTTTCAAAAGCGCCTAGAAGGTTCAGTGCTTTGTAAACCCAACTGGATGCCTGGATGCAGCTTTGGGTGCCTAAAAGCCTTAAGACTCTGTCCCTAAGGCACTGACCTGAGGTCAGAGAGGAAGTCCATGGGCGGTGGGTGTTGTATTTAAGACACTTCTGGAAAGTAACGAGCCTTTCAACAGAAGTGAAACCAGTGTTCCCAACTCTCATGAGTTTGTCCTGAGTCGCATGATAAATATTGTTTTCCTTAAAACCCCGGCACCTGGAGTCAAGTGATGTGTGATGATTTCAGCCTTTATTCTTAAAGAACAATGACTTTTCCAGCTCTTGTGTCTGTGGAGGAAGCTTCAAAATGTGACCCCAGTGAATCTTGAAGGCTCAAAAAGCAGAATGTAAAGAACCCCCCACCAAATCTATTATTTTTTTTATATAAGCTCATTATTTTAAAGCCATCTCATGATTTTTGGTGAGTCTCATTCTTGATTTTTGAACATTTGGGGTCGGCAATACTCTGCAAGTGACTTGAAAGTGTCAGTTTCACTCCTGTTTAAAGTCAGTTTCAGACTATTATTTGTGGTGGGGTAACACCCCTAGAGCCGCAGGCAGGTGCAATATAAACTCACGGGGCCTTCCCCTGATAGGATGTTTCCAAAAGCTAAAGGATCTATTCCAAGCTTGATGAACTGCAAAAAAGAGATAGAAAGTTCTCTAGGTTCTTCTACAATTGTTTCCAGAGTTCTATTCAAGAGTTAGTAAGAAAGTAGGAATATACAGTAACATTTTAAATCTAACCAGTGTCCCTTAAGTGACTTGCCACAAGACATCAGAACAGGTTAGTATTAGAGTTGAGTGGGTCTAATGTTTATTTAATTTTTTTCTTTTTATAGGAATTAGAAACTATTATCTGACAGGAGCACTGTCTCTCTCATATTATCTGCAAAAAAACAAGAGTTTTCAGGTGTCCAGTAGCCTCTGGATTCACGGTTAAAGTGCCACCCCCACCCCCGAAATCTGAAATGGCACCGCTGTCTCTGCCCCCATTTCCTGCCCTGGAATTCAGACAGATCACTCACCGTTGGGTTGTAAAAACAACAGGAGCAAGAGAAGGGAAGGCCGTAGAGCCCCATCCATCCTGACAGCGAGGGGCAGGCAGAGAAGGCGGCCGTCAGTCCGTATAACGGGTGTCCTGACTGAACAGAGCCGGAGTGCGTAGGCCTGCAGGGTTTGCTCAGTGGCCGATCCCTGATGGTGTCGAGGGGCTGCAGAGAAATGACCCGCCCCACAGCTCTGCAACTTCCCCCGCGAGACGCTCTTTCCTTTTGTGGTAAGTCGCGCAATGAGCTAAAAGCAGCCCAGGGCGCTTGGTTGGGGAAGGTTCCTCTAATTGCTCAGGGCTGAAAGGGTCTGAACCATACACGGCTCCTGCGATATTGGATGGTTCTGTCTATTGCACCGGAGAGCCTGTCATGCTAGGAATTCTCAGTTACCCTGGGGCCCCTTGACACGGCTCTGACAATGAAAAGCGCTTCGACGGGGCACCCAGTACATAGACACCCACTGTCAGGGCCCTTTGCACAGCCAGGGTGGTGTGACGGGGGCTTGGCGTGAATGAGAATCTGGCCCTGCGTCCTGCGGGGCTGCGATCCCCTGGGAGCAGAGGGTCTGTAGGTTCTCTGCTAGACAGAGGCCTGCCCAAAGGAATTGAAGGTGCCTCCCCATGGCCGGCAGCTCAGTGCTGGGACAGAGACACAAATCCGGATCGGGTGTGAGCAGCAGGTGCGGAGCAGTGTGGGGAAGATGGTGACTGAGCCTGGGCCCCGAGGAAACCCCGCAGTGGGTGTGATGCCAGTAGCAGGGTTACCCTGGCGATACAAAAATCATGACCCTGTGGAGTGCAGAGGTGGAGACTTTATTTACATGATGGAAAGTTATCCTGTGGAACTCATTGCCACTGGATATTATCGCTCTGTCACGCTTTTGCAGGATTAAAACCCAACACACCCTCGACCTGTCTGAATCACAAGGACATTCACGGTTCTGCTGGGGAGGAGAGATAGAATGTGGAAGAGACATTAACTCTTGGGCGCCCGGGTATAAACCAACTTCTCTCTGTGCGTGGGGTGAGGAAAATTCCTCATATGGGCAGGTTATTCCAGTATTGCCCACTACGGGGAGTGTTTCTCCTTCCTCTGAGTTATCCGAGGCAGGGCAGGGCTGGAGTAGGGATGCTGGTTTAGACTGGCCGGGATTCTGATCCCATGTGGTAATTCCTAAGGGCTTGTCTCCACACGGGCTTGGTTTAGAAACCGAGACAGTTAAAGAGGTTCAGGGGCTGCACCCAGAGAAGCCCCTTTCCACTGAGACAAGGGCATCCCCAGAAAGGGAGGCAGCGCTTTCATTGTACCAGTAGAAAATCACCCACTGACCTGTAGAGTGACACTGGTGCAGCAACTGGGTCTAGACCAGGCCGGAGTCCCCTGTGTTTAGGGCCAGTCCTGGGTTCACAAGGCAGCTGAGTTTCTTCCGGGCCAAGCTCCTTGGTCCAGGCTCTCCATCGCCCTGCCCCGCACAGTCATCGGCCCCAGAGCACAGTGGGGGGAAAGTGCCTCCGTGACAGGGTGTTCTGCCCCTTTAACGGCCAGAGGCCGGGGCCGGCCTGCCTTGGGCATTAACCAGGTGCAGCTGGAAGTGAGCTCCTGTCCCCAGAGAGCCGGATGCCACGGAGGAGGGGAGAGCCTCGTGGGGAGCAGGCACGGCAGGGCGTCCCTGGGAAAGGTCTGGGAAGCCCGGAAGGGCCTGGGAAGCCTGGACAGAACCAGGCGTTGGAGCAGCCGAGGGGACTGAGCAGTGAGCTCTGGGTCGGGGGATTTGTGTGAGATCTGGGCTGGGCGCCTGGGGACTGTTTACACTCTGGGACAATAAATCATCCCCAGGTAGGGGAACGATTAGACACTGGGGTCTTTTCAGAAGGTCGATGGGAGGAAACTGAGGCAGGCGCACCTGTTATGCTGCTGGCGGCTGCCAGAGGGCGCCACTGAGCAGGGCCGATTCTCCACCACATCTCCCGCCACACAGAGGGACCCAATACTTCCCCTCCTCCCACTCAGTGACATTCACCCTTCGGAAGCTGCAAGCGAGCGTCCCCCTGTATCACCCTCGGGCTGGCGGGCTGGGGAACGCCCAGGTGGGATTGGCAGCCGCAGTGGAAGCTCCTCTACTCTCAGGCCCGTCTCCGCTCCCTGCCGGGGAGGACGTGCACCGCGATGATCCCGGCGCTCAGGGCTCCCAGCACCAGCAGCAGGACGATCCCCTTGATGTGGCAGTAGGACAGCGAGGAGGCTGGGGCTGGTGTGGGAGCTAAACAAACAAAGGTGATGGTGTCAGTTCATGCAGGGGGAACTGGCGTTGTCCCAAGCGCACAGCAGGGGAAGGGGTCGGGGTGCCTGGGAACCTGCCCCCCGCTCCATACAGGGCAGGAGGAGACGCTGTGCAAACAGGGCTGAGTCTGGGCCGGGTCCCGCTGACCTCGGCTCTGGTCAGGGCCGGCTCTAGGCACCAGCGTTCCAAGCATGTGCTTGGGGCAGCACTTTTCAAGGGGCGGCACCCCGGCCCTTTGGGGTGGCACTTCGACGGCGGTACTCCGGTGGGTTTTTTTGTTTTTTGTTTTTTTGCTTCGGCAGCAAAAAACCTGGAGCCGGCCCTGGCTCCCGTGTCCCCTCTGGGAAATGGGGGTCAGAGGCCACATCCGGCCCCCAGGCACAGGAGCCCCCCTGTTCCCAGAGCGGGGCCCAGAGGTCTCTGATGCGCCCAAAACAGCCCCTTGGGCCCCCACTCTGAGCCCCTCGCTCCACCGGCTCCTCCCTACGCCCCCACCCATGAGCAGCTCATCACACCTCTGCAGGGTGGGGCTGTGACCCCTCCCCGGGGCAGCCTGTGCTGACGTTCCTGACCCTCCCCCGCTACCTCCCAGGTAGGAGTCTTCTCAGAGCCGGGGGATGAGATGGGGGGTCTGATGTGGCCCCTTAAGTGAGTCAGTGTTTGAGATCAGGCGTGTTTCATAACTAAACTTCTCGGTGTCCCCCCCCCCCCAGTATCTCAGCCTGCGCACGGCTCTCCTTGGGCCCAGGCTGTTGCCCATTGACCCTGTGACGCTGCTCTGGTGACAGAGACAAATCCAGAGCAAACCGCTCCCTGCCTGGCAGGTTTACAGGCTAAAATCTGCAGCCAGGTGGCTTCTGGGGCTGTGGGGGCCAGGTTCCATTTGGGATCAAAGGCCTGGGACTGGTGCAAAGGCAGCGACCCGATGCCAGCTCCTCCCTGTGAGCACTGGGCAGCGCGATCCTGCAGAGGGAGTTACCTGCACAAAGGTCCTTTGCAGAGGCCGTTGTGGAGCTGTTACTGGCGGGGTTCTGGGCTGTGCAGGTGACGGCCAGGTGAGCATCACGGGGGCTCAGAGAGATGTGCAGAATGGACTCATTGGGTACAACAGCGCCCCCTGCTGTGTGAGTCCAGCTGTAGGTCACATGCTCCCCTCCATCCCTGACAGTGCAGCGCAGGTTGTAGTTACAGGTTTCACTCACACAGGTCACTGAGTCACAGAGGACAGTTGGCTCCGGTACTGGCTCTGCCGGGGGGAGAGAAACGTGGAACGGGCTGAAATGCCCAGAGCATCTTGCGAGCCGCTGCCTGGATGTGCTGGGGACGGTGAGCGCAGGGAGCTGTCTGGCTCCTCGTAGCACGGTTGGGGCAGGGGCAGGGGATTAGGGAGACTCTGCCCCAGCTGGAGGTGGGGGGAAGAAGGGAGGGATCGTTTGGGGGTGCTGGAGAAGTGACCAGGAGGCCCAGCCTTGAGCTAGTTGAAATTCCTCAATGAAATGTGTTTCCGTCAGGAAATGGGGGTTTGCTGGAATTGGGGAGAGGGGGGCGGGGCCTGAGGAAAGGGGCCGGGCAGGTGAGCCCTGGCTTGGGTGCAGGAAACCCGCGTGCCAAGAGGAGTTTGGGTTTCTGATGAGTCAGGGCCATGTGGGGCGGGAGCAATGGGGCAGCAGACGGGGCGGGGGAAGGAGGTTGCAGAGGAGAAGTGGGCAGAGAGGCAGAGCTGGGGGGGTGACAGAGGTTGGGGGAGAGGAAGGAACAGGAGCAGGGAGGGGAGGAGAAGCAGCCGCACTGAGAGGTCTGCACAGACGCTGGGACCCTGCAGCCCTTGATCTCCCAGAGGAGGTTCCTGAGCAGGGCGGGGTCCAGCTTCCCCCGGGGTTCATCGGCCCCACACTTACTGTACACGCGCAGTGTGAAGTGTCTGTGGTTAGGGTTAGAACTCCCTGATACGTGGCTGTTGCTGGGGTCTGTAGCTATGGTGATTTGAGCTCTGTAGGCGCCCATGTCCTCCATCCTCAGGCTGGTGATCTGAAGCGAGTAGCTCTCGGGGACTCTCAGGCGTCCCTTGTAGGATGGGTCTAACACAATGACATTGGGGGGGTTTCCTGCTGCTACAGCTACTATACTCGTTGTGTTTACTGTCCAGGTAGCAGCTGTGACTTGCTCTGCTGGGATCCCCAGAGGGAAAGTGACGGAGTCCCCCAGAATCCGGCTCAGCTCCATCGCGTCTGCCTCTGCTCTGCCGGACCCTGCCCCACGAGAGAGAACAGGAGCCTTTAGGACCAGCTCGACCACACGCCCCGTCACGGGGACCCCAGGCCAGTTCCCCTCCCCAGCCCTTGTGACACGTTCCCCCGGGAACCAGGGCACTGCTGTTCCCGGGCCAGAGTACGGCCGGGGGAGGGGACGCTAGACCCAAACCCTCCCAGATTTCAGATCCTGGTGTCCAGCGCCCCATGGCCAGGCTGCCTTCAGCGCTGGGGCTGGGATATTACAGAGCCAGGGGCCAGCTGTCAGATGTGGGTCCGGATCTGGGTTTTGAACACGTCCGATCTCAGAGGGTTGAGATCCGGTAGCAGTAGGAGGCTCTTTCCCTCTGCTGTGAACCAGCCACTAGAGGGGGACAGAGAGCCGCCCGGTGCCAGAGCGGGTTACAGGCTCTCACAGGCGTTTTTCCTGCTCAGGTTGAGTGGAGGCTGCTGATCCTATTACAGCCCATGGATGGCCGAGTCTGTCTATCCCAGTGGTTCTCAAACTTATGTACTGGTGACCCCTTTCACACAGTAAGCCTCTGAGTGCGACCCCCCCCTTATAAATTAAAAACATTTTTATATATATTTAATACCATTATAAATGCTGGATACAAAGCAGGGTTTGGGGTAGAGACTGACACCTCGCAACCCCCCCATGTAATAACCTCACGACCCCCTGAGGGGTCCCAACCCCAGTCTGAGAACCCCTGGTCTCCCCTGACCCACTCATGTCTATCTGGGGGTTCTTACACTGGTGCCCATCACCCCGGTATCTGAGCGCCTCCCAAGAGTAAGGGAGACAGCTGTGATTCCTCTCTCCCTTCCCAGGAGGCTCGGGCGGTTTCATGATCCCCACTGGCCGCAGCTGAGCGGAGGGTGACTGTGTTGAGTTGGGGGCTAGTGCAGGAAATTTGGCTGAAAAGGTGAATTTGCACCTAGCTCTGAATGTGGGGAGGTTTTAGATCCTCAGGGGCGAGGGACCCGCTTAAGGGTTGATGGTGCAGAGGGTTCAGGGCTCACAGGGGAGGGGGCTGCAGTGCTCCCCAATGAACTTTGGGGGGCTGGAGTTTGGGGGAGACCTAGCAAAGCCACCTTTGGTTGGGGAGGGGCATGAGTCTCCCAGGCCCATGTCAGGGGATGTATGTGGGGCCCCCATTTCCCTTCTAACTTTGTGGAGCATTTGAAGTGTTT